CGATTTTCAGGGTTTAGAAACCATGTATGTGTGTGCATGCGTATGTGTATGTGTATATGTGTGTGTTCGTGTATGTGTGTATGTGCACGTGTGTATATGTATTTGTATGTGTAGAACAATAAAGGGGCTTTATTCACCTGAGCCCAGATATTTAACCAGTGACTGTGGGTGTACGAGGAAGTATTCATTATACGTCCTTTGAAGAGGAAGTCGGCAGTAGGAGTCAGACTCATGTGTTTTATTTAGTGCGTTGTTTCAACATTTCATTAAATGAATGCATAGAAATCTTGTGCACAGTGTGAGGTTATGGTTTCTTTGTTTCCTTTCAACGATGAAGCAAGTTACATTTCGTGAAGAGTATCGCAGTAATATAGGCCTTCGAGTCAGTTCTCGACACCAAATAACCACTAGCTTTAAGCAGAATGCTCGACTTCGTGAGAAGACGCCACGCGGGACTTTTCGTAGTTGACACAAGGCAACACCTTTTGACACTCAAACTTGGGATTAAATCTTTATATACATAAAGGCAACACTAATACAACAGGAACAACGATGGAAGAATACTGGCGTAACGATAAGGCAATCAAGTCGAACGTAAGACTCCTAAAGATCTTGCCAAACCCAAAAAAAGGCGGTACTAGTCCGGGCGTAGCTACGTCCAAGCGAGTCCTTGGTGGTAGGGTCAAGGCCCAGGTCCCGGAGTCCATTGCACAAGCAATGAGACGTACCCAGAAGCATGCTCGGTGGTGTGACCGATGGCCGCGTGATGCTGTGTCTAGTGGTGTTGTGGCAAAGGCCGTCTCCATCGACCCATTGAATGTGTCTGCTAAGTAGATAAAGAATTTTGATAGAGGAATTCTCTATACGAAGTTCCTTAGGATGGGATCAAAATATTTACGCACTACGACATTTGCTAGGCAACTTGAGAAACATTAGATCTAATCCTTACTACAGAAACATGCAGTAATGGAAATAAATAGTAACTATTCCGGGGAGAGTTTTGCAAATATCTCAGCAACGTTGTGGTTGTATTTCGCTTAGTACCCTGCCGCGAAATTATAGTAGGCAGAAAATAAAAAGGTATAAGATTATTCCGGGGATAGTTGCTATAAAGAGTACTATGATACTTTGAATACATATAAAGGCTTCAGAAATTCAGTACTGAATGGCACATGTATTTAGCACCAGTATGAAGTGAGCAATCAAAAAAGGCTGGTAAAACACCATGGAAAAGAAGGAAACATTCCTAATTCATGTGAATGTCCCTGTGAAACGACGAGATATACATCAGTATACACTGAACAAGAGAAAACGAGGAAAACAGATCAAATAGCAGAAGACTCATCAGTTAGTGATAACCATAGGAGAATTATAGATACTTTACAAGAGATCGAGTGGGATGGTCATGTAAGCTGTGCAGATAATGCGTATTGATGAGGGTCAGTCGAAACGATGATTTCCGTGGTAATCAGCACGTAAGTGCACATTACGGCACTCACTTCTGACATTGATAAACTCCGTCGTTTTCGAAAGGAAAATAGAATACCTATGGACTTCCTACAAATACCTACACATGGACTTCGTCTTCATAGAAATGAACAAGGCGATGTGGTGCAGCTTCGACGATATTTTTACACGGACTATTATCCTGGCTAGTAGATCTGATATCGCACACCGATGCTGAGGTGACATGTTCTTCAACGGCGTTTGAAGAAAGTACCAAATCCTCTAGAGATTTGGTGAAGGTCTTGATTGGTGGCTTTTCGACAGCGTGTTGCTGCTCTATTGGCCCAGCGGACTCTTCTGTACGTGTTCGCGATGGCGACCGTTCCAGTTTTTTTGAGCGAAAGCTTGAACGAAACGATACCGACGAACGTCTTCTTGTATAAAACTGGTCTATTATGTGGTTCTCCAATAGGATGATCTGAAACAGTCAGCAATGTGATCAAAAATCGATGCAAAGGCAGTTTATAAGATGGGTGGAAACCTTATCAACTGATTTTGCGAATTGCATTTCATCAGGAAGCCAGTTGTCGGAGTTGCCAACATCGTCAAGCGTCTCGCGGAAGAGAAAAGCAGTTGAGTCGTCCTGAAATCTCAAACTAGAAAGTCGATATTCCACTTTAATTTATGCCTCGATCAAAACATTTAATAAAGAAAGGAATCTCGTGCATCTTTTAAAATTTCGGAACATTTCCCAGAATTTAAAACTTAAGATTTATTATATTTTATTTGACCCGTCTTCACGTCTACCGTGCGGATCCCAGCACTTCTCGTATTCGATTCGTTTCTTCGCATCCACTGTCCACGAAAATCTTCCAGCTTCTACGAGTGGTTCGGTTACTGCTTGAGGATGTTTCATTTCACCTTGAATGTCGTAGAATGCTGGTCAAGGCGATTTTCCCTAAAGTCGTGAGATGGAACAGGAACATTCCCAACTGGATTGCAAAGAGCGATTTTTTCCCAGACAAATCCGGTACCAATTTACCGACCCTGGGGAGATGAGAGGCTTGGTTGGCCCTGAGCGGAACCGAACTAGCACCATGCTCGTGATGATGGACATCACTACCGCTATGCTCTTTGCCCCCTCAAACTTGAAATTTCCAGCTATAAATATGAGGAGTGGAAACGAAGTGGTTAGTGATGCAGTACATTAGGAAGGAAGATGTAAGCTCGACCCCTCCTCAAAATTCTCCTTCGATCGACGTGGGAACACCTTAACTCTGCTATCTCCAACATTTCAAGAAGAATCGACTCGATCAGTCAGTATTTTACGGCATTCATAAAGAAGACGAAATTCTGTAGGGGCGGCCAAACGACACGCGAAATGTCCGAAAACTTTTGTGGACGACGAACGAATCGAATGCTGGAGGTGGTGAACTCGCACATTAGATGTGAACGGGTAGTATAAATGAGAAATAAATTTAAAAAACATGAGGTCAACCCTGCGCCAATTCCACCAAGCGTCCCATCCTTCTGGAGTCGGGAAATTGTTAACTGGGTTGTCTGAGGTTTTAATCGACTTCACCAGCATTTATGCAGAAAACGAAAAGTGTTTAAGTAGCTGCAGAGCTCCGCATGCGAAAAAGACCTTAGTGAATGAGGGATGGCGAGGAAACAAATCGAGTGCAAGAGCTGCTGGGGGATCTGCTGGGATCACCCTACGTGATGTTGGGTCATGTGAAAAAATACGATTTTATCTCAAACCACAAGCCTACTTGGTTAGCTCACTTTGAACTTCTCTATATAGGGGAATTTTCCACCATAAACCTCTCCATATTAAATTATCCCTGATGTCTACTATCAAGCAGAATTTGAGGTTGAACTGTGGAACTTTTTTAACCAACAAGGAATATGCTGGTCAACGAAACTCCATCACCACTCTGCTAACAGTTGATGAAATTCACGCGTTGTATACAAATCACTGGATCTTCGAATCATGTCAACCAAGACTGACACCTCGCTTGCAATACGTAGAAAACGATAACAATCCGGAAAAATTCCTTAAAAGTCTGATGCTGCAAAAATAAATCTCGGAAACTGGTTGCACCAATCACCCCATTCAAATGCAGATTCCGTCCACAAAAATTTGGTCCCGCGAAGAAATTTCTTATTGCTGCGCTAGAACATAAAAATGAAGCGCTATTTCAGGGAATACCACGTCATAACTGGCTGCTATGCTTAACTAAGCATCCAGTTTATTTCATATACATCATTTGTTGTCATCTAAAGTTGAAAAGATTTGGTTGTTATTTTTTTCTTCATCCATCATTTTCTTCATCATTCAGAGGATTCACCTTGTTAGGTCGTTATAGAGCTGTTGGTTAACTAATCACAGTAATCGACATTACCACAGAAACCGCTGCTTTCCCAAAAGAATTCCATTAACAGGAATGCAGTTCCTCCTCTGCGCTAAAGACAGGCGTCGGGCTATGGTGATAGTCTGGGTGAACGCAATCGCACAGTTAACTCAGTATTCCACAAAAAAACCACTTCAGTGAGTATTCATCACGCCAGTGAAGAAAAAAGACACATCTTCACAGAGCAGTAAAAGAACCCGACTACCTCTATGGGTGACGATTACTGAGCAAATGGAAGAACCGTCACGCCGTCAGGTCATCAGAGGACAGTCCATCCGAGTAAACCACCACTTTATACAAACAATATGGTGACGCATCCTGCAGACCAAAGACTGCTATAGCTTAATTAAGAAAAAAGTACGTTTCAATTTAGTGGTACACCATCACGTGATTGATTACGGTCAAATTTTTGTGGTGAAGGCGGTGGGTTGGTAACCATTCGAAGATTTTACTGCAAAGACGTGCAGATTGTAAAATATTTGAGGGTAAAATAATAAAGGATAAAGCTCTCGGCGCTGATCAATCCCTGAGGGATGCGCCATGCATTCGACTTCATTAAGCATCGTTTGGAGATGATTGGATGCATAGCGATGTATCCAGCCAGTGCTGCTATCCTCCATGACAAGTCTGGTAGTAATTTGCCGACCCCGGAGGAATGGAAGGCTTAGTGGGCTATAGCGTGGGATCTTTTGATTTGAGAGTATCGTGAATTTTTAACATGCTTGCAGAGCTTTGCTACTTGCACTTCGTCTTTTAACGCGTTTTTAATGTCGTGCTGTTCGGTGTTCTTATTAAAGACCTTGTTAACCCAGCCAAAACCGAAGAATCACGCTTAGCGATTAATATCTCAAAGGTAGTGACGTAAAGTCTCCGAAGTACTACCGTAAAAAATGCGACGTCGTTAGTGTTCCGTAATTTGCTTATCAATTCCAACTGATTGGCAAGAGAATGATCGTTTACGGTGAGTGGGGTTGCTCACTCTCTTTTACTTGAACTGTGATTCTATCAGCAACAGGACACCAACCGAAATCGCCTCCCTTATAAATGGTAATCAATCATAGACGATCGTCGTACCTCCTAGCCACTATTATGTAACGTTTAATAAATATTTAAAAGTCACAAGGAAGAGCAAACTATTGCCTAGCTTACCTCGATTTCCCCAAATCGTATACAAAGCATCGCCATGTCACAGAGTACCCGAAGACGGGTTGGATGGCTCGGTCGCCGCCAAATTCGTCGTCCCATGAGAAAGATTTCTGCATATTCCCTCTTCACGTCCGTCCAAATCTTTCGTTTTTGCTCAACATCCGTGATAAGTGGTGCTAGTCGGTAATAGCATGCGTAAATTGCGGCCTCATACCTAAAAATAATGGTAATTAAACAGACGAGTGGTGAAAAAGGTTCCTAATGATTTAAGGTTTCATCCTGGAACTGTTAGGTGATGTCAAACTGGGGTAAAAAGAAAATTGCGCATTCTTCATTACTTCTTCATAAGCTGAGAACTTCGACTTCCAGATTTGGAAGTCCGCTCAAGAATAAACTATTTACTGCCATCCCGGTAGAAATTTGATCTCAAAGTACCAAACCTTCCTCTTATCTGGGAGACGTATTTGATTCCAATGGGGAAGACTCAAAAACGTCATAACAAGGTTAAAGCGCTAATCCGGGAAAAAATTCGTCTATTCAACAATTAAACAGCTTTAGCAGAGTCACACTATGAGCTTGAGAGTGTGATGTCAGGAGATGAGACAAGCAGAAGCGTTCAATATATCGAATTGGGTGACTCTTGTCAAAGCTGTTTACAACGGCACTGGATAATGAAGCCCTCAATTGGGCGATGGGGACATTGGAAGCAAATTCCTGTCAAACCATTGTTTTGATAAGGAACCCGTCATCTTTTCGAAGTGTATCAGTGGAACAGAGACGATACTCAAAAAAACCCGTGAATCGGGGAAAGGACAACATCGCGAAAAAATCGGAAGAGAACCGGTACATGCACGGTATGAAGGTGATCAAATGAAAAATATAATTGTTTTCCCGCTTACTTTGATCCCTAGGCAACAAACGAAAATGGAAAGCAGAACGAAGGAGGAATGGAACAGAGGAAGGAAAGCAGCGTTAGCCCTGTTCAGCCCTCAGAGAAATTAAAGACCAACTAATAGACCAAAACTTCGCCCTGACTTTTGTTTGACAGCGTCATGGATTTGTATTTTAACCACCTCTGAAACATAACCGGAAAACCCGTAATCTAGCAAAAATGTGCACTTCATATTTCCAAAACTAATCGATCTACAATATACATGAGGGTACAGATTGAAAGCGAAACATGGGTGGACCGGTCATATAATGGGAATACATGATAACAAATGTACGGAAACAACAGTAAGTAGACTTAAAGAGACTTCTGGTGTTCACTAAGACGACCACCTACAAGACGGAAGGCATATTAGAGCACTCGTCAACCAACTGCATTCGTAGTTGGGAAACGATTTATGGATCATGGAATGGACATCGCGGACGTCATCACGTTCGAAGGAGACCACTTCCATTCACGACGACATTATAAGAAAGATGCGGACAGAAGGTGTGCTGAAGATCACATTATTCGACATCGATAAAACGGACCATAAAATTACCTAGTATGCAAGGTTCCTACGTTTCTAACAAGGTGACATCATCAGCATGGACATAACATGAAGGAGAAACAGCCCAAAAAGAGGAGAGGAAAACAGCCAACGCTGGGAACTCTAACAGAGGTCACAAATTATCTAACGTACCCGAAACTCACTGCTCATCTGTTCGAGTCAATATTCCTCAACATTGCTATGCAGTTGAGATTTGGGCTGACATGACAACTGCGTATGGAACGATGTTTTCGAAAATATAACCGAAGCATATGACAACAAATCGTATCACATAATACGGATCTCCGGATCCATATTTAATCCTCTAGATCCAGCGAAATATCGATTGGAAACTGAGATGGAATATTTCGAAACCAACTTTCCTTGAACCTCGGTATCACTAATCAATATGTATTCTTTCTTTGATGAGCTTACACGAGGTTGATAACGATGTTTATTTTCGGCTAACGTTTCGACGTCTTCGTCTTCCTCAGAGCCGATGATCCGAGTCGATGGTCCTCGCTTGTTATTCGTCTCGGCGTGGCAGCTTCGCCTTCGTGTCGAGTCAAGTCTTCTTCAGTGAGCCATCTCCTCGAATGAGGTATCCACCATCGATTCGGGTCATCGGCTCTGAGGAAGACGACGTCGAAACATTAGCCGAAAATAAATACCATTATCAACCTCGTGTAAGCTCATCAAAGAAAGAATACATATTGATTAGTGATACTGGGGTTCAAGGAAAGTCGGTTTCAAAATATTACTACGCTTTGTGCTAGCTGATAATAACACCGACTTCTGCACGGTGTGCGCGATGATTATGTCCGGAAGCAAAACAAGTTGTTATCACCGGACATTACCATTATATCGACCAACAGCATCGTGTATAAAAGGGCATCACTGAGTAAGGATGCCTCATTCGAGGAGATGGCTCACTGAAGAAAACCTGACTCGACACGAAGGCGAAGCTGCCACGTCGAGACCAATAACAAGCGAGGACCATCGACTCGGATCATCGGCTCTGAGGAAGACGAAGACGTCGAAACGTTAGCCGAAAATAAACATCGTTATCAACCTCGTGTAAGCTCATCAAAGAAAGAATACATATTGAGATGGAATAGTCGTGAAAATTGTCCATAGATAGGGGACAAAACAGCGGAGTGGGCTCAATCAGATTGAAGCGTCTTTTAAGGCAGCAATCATCTACAAAGGTTGAACGAATGTGCTTTAAGTCGACGTCAACCAACGGTATTGGCAAGTTGCAAAAGGCCATTTTCGACCTTAAAACGATACTTTCAGAAATCACAATTTTCGGAAGAGACCACCACCATGAACGACGATTGCCAGAGAATAACGAAAAGAATAGAAACTCAAATTTGGCATTATTTAGGAGCGATGAACATGAAAATAACCGTGGTGTGATTTTAAGTTTTACAGTAATCTATTATAACAAAACCTACCAGGCCAGATAGCAGTACTTCTTAACGATGACGTGCAGACGATCCAGCCAAGCGTAACAAAGCTCTCGGCGTTCTTCTGATGTTCCCTCTTCAGGATCACTGTCTTGAAATTGAAATAAATCGTAAGCCGTCCAGTTGTCACCTTTTCTTTTGAGCTTTTCGATATTGTTGGCCGGCTTGCGGGTGAGTTTCGATGCAACTCGTCGAATCGGGCGGTCTAAAATGAATAGCGAAATTGACTATGGAATAACAGAATATCAATTTTCATGGCATTCTTACAGAGATATAGAGACTTTGTTTAAATCCATCCAAGGAAGTTCACTACAGAGAGTTAAAATCAGCACGAGTTTAAAAAAGACAGAACCACATAAAATTGATAAACGCGTGGAGGCTCACCCTTCGTTGTGATTATGTCACTGTCACTGTCACTAAAGTTCTACCAAGATAATGTACGCTATTAAACTGGAATCAATTCCGTCAACACAATGACAATGCTCCAGTGGGATGTGAACATAATCGTCTTCCTACCATTTGGTCTTTTCCGCCAACGAGGATTTTAATTGAGGCAGTTTCCTCCGCCCGTTGTACATTCCCGTCCTGTGTATGCCAAACGTTAATCGACCTGGAGTAGAGTCGAAGAGAATCGAGGTGTCTTATAAGAGACCATCTACGAGATGAGATGAGATATTTATGGCTCTCGTCGACAAACTGCATCCATAATTGGAAAGGATTTCACGGAGCCGTTTTCGTGAACGCAATAAGTAAACGAACCATTTTCAATGGCTAAGAACCAAGTATGTTTCTCTATCGGAGACGTTCGAGAGGTGGTTGGAAGGATCGGAGCGACGTTCGTGAAGCCCTGGTGGCGGCTTGACGAAGGAGCCGAGCGACTAGTATACAGCATGCCGTCGTCGTTTCACAGCTAACGTCATTGGCGAGCCGTTAAATAACCTGATTACGTCTCCATCTTATAAGCCGTCTACAGCTGTCGCACTCAGTGCAGGACGATGCTGCTTAAAATAAAATGTGCAGCTCCGATGCTCATCAAACACGTGATCATCTTAACTTGTTCAGCCCTACGAGAAAGATGTCGATAAATCAAATTTTAACCAGTCACAAGATCGGGAGTTATTTCATTGGATTGTGACTAATACGTCCGATAACATGCTTCACCCAAGCACCACATTCACTATCATGACAGATAGAACAACTTGAGTCCAAGGGAATTCAGCCGAAACTGGTAAAGCAGCTACCAAAATTAAATCATTTAACTGATCTGGCATGAACTTTGAAGCTCACGTGCTCGAATTCGGCTGGGAGAAATCTACTAAATCGACTCTTCTTTATCGGAACGTGAACTAATAAACACACCGATACTTAACTATTTCCATTCAGGACTAGGTGACTAACAGTTCATTCATTCCGATTATTTTGCTCGTCTCCTTCTCGTTTTTAACGTTTAGTGAAGCAATGTAAAACTTTTTCCTTACTGACTATTAATTTCTTATGGCAGGGGATTATGTGAAATGTAACCACAATACAATGGTGCTGAGAGACTTTCAAAACCTGGACCTCAGGCCAGATTCGAATATGCGCTCACCCTTTCCAGTGGCAGAAGGGCAAAACAGGGGTCTCACTAGTGCAGTGGGTAACACGTAAATCTGGCCTGGTTTCTAAGTTTTACAAATATCTCAGCATAATTTTGGTTGTATTTAATGAAATGCTTCAGAACTATGCACAAAAAGTGAAAGCACAGTGAACGACGTTATCTACAGGCGAGTGAAAACGGTAGAGACCGCATAGAAGTAACGCACCGGGAAGGGGTTGCAGTTTCGCCTGACTCTTACGCCGTTGTCGTTCTCCACAACTCTCGTCTTTCAGACACTTTGCCAGTTTCTTCGCAATTCTTCTGCATCTCAATTTCCAAGCTGACAACAGATCTGCTTTCACTTTACGCCAGCTCTTGTGGAAATATCGAAATAGCAGCGCACGTCTCTGAAATACGACAAATCTCTATGTAGAAAACAACATACATAGATATATGTGTATGTATATGTATATTATGTGTATACGTATATATATATATATGTATATATATGTATATGTATATACATACATATATATATATATATGTGCTGTAATGAAGAATCCTGCGGAAGCAGAATCGCTATATATCGACAATTCCTCCTCACTGGACTTAATTTTCGAGAATTTAGGTATACGAACATTTAAACATCCGTTTTACCTTCGACGAAAAGAGGAAGCTATGTCATCTACAAGGTGGATCTGTGTATAATTAGCCAGTGGCCTAAATTTCTTCGTCTTTTGTTTTCCAATCACAGTCGTTTCAAAAGCCGAAAGAATGCGAAAAAAAGATTGGTTTTCAAAATTAATCCCTTCTAATTAGGAAAAGGCATTACATTACGAGCATAATGGCTTGGTGCTCGCCGTCTCATTAATGTAGAAAATAAGAATAAATATAAAGCAGTAAAACAACAATGAATGGAAGGAAACTAACCATTGAATAATGTGACAACGACTTCCTAAGCATTGGATATGATAATTCCGTAATCTAAAAGAAAGTGTGACCGTTGAGAAAATGACATTATTAGAACAACAACACTGAGCGGAAAGAAGCTGACGTATAGATGGCGACGAAATCTGCTGCGCCTCATCGCGGCTGACGTGGGAAGACAGCTGTTCCCGTCGCGCGTACGTCCTCCTCTGCACCTTCGGCGGAGGTAGAGAGGAGGACGACCAGCAATCGTTCCCACTTCTCCCCGACTGAGCACTTTTTGCAAGAACACGATATCGGTAGGACTTAAGTAAAAAAGCTCGTATAGATTCGAAACGTTTTTTTTTTCTTTCGAAATAGCATTACACAGCAACCGTTACTCATTACTGAGATGTACTAAATGACGACTTAATATCAATAGTTAATATTCGCACTTTCATTCCGCAGCTCTCATTTCACCGCGATGTGATATATAGGAAGTCCTCATACAGATGAACGTTATTTAAAAGAAGAAAGGAGAAAGACCAGCTAACCATATAGAATACAGCATGGTAAAACTGCAAACAAAGCTATCCCTACTTCGTTGTTAGTCTAGAAAAACCAGTGTAATCCGAGACTTCGCATCTCATATAAGAGTTTTAAATCCAATTTGCCATGACTTATTAAGCTATAAAATGGCGCATAACAATTTGCGAACGAATTGCTACGTTATGTTAAGTGGAAGTTAGTTGACCGATAGTAACCCTAAAGCAGCTGCTTTCCCTCGTTGGCTGTAGAACTAGGAAAATAAAAGTGATGGCGATAGGGATTTCAGAACAACGAGATGGCAGTGGACTGTTCAAGTAATATGTGGAGTGGGCTCTTCCTTTCAGACAAACGACAAACCAATCTTCAATTTGGTCCATTAATTTTGGGCGAAGTGATTTCCGTTATTTTGCGGAGCCACTCCTCACCAGGGCACCTCATTGTCGCACTTTTTCGTCACGTAACGACAACACATTCCATTAACTTCTATTTATTCTAGAATAAAGTCAGCTGGAATGCTACAAAAGACTTGAGCACTCTATTGAATTTTTCATGATTAGATCGGTCGTCTAACAAGCTTTACCGGGCGATACTAAAGCTTTCGGTGACCTGCTTCTCTTGTTGAGAAAGCGCCACATGTCGGGTGACTCCCAGTGAGTAGCACTTGGTTTCAAATGGAAGGAGGAGGAACCCATGGTGTTAAGAAATCAGAAAAAACCTTAGAAAGTGGAGTCGCAAGAACAGAATATCAGTCTTACGTCTCTTTTCACCATGATCATATTTCTAAGGATGTCACAGTTGATGGTAAGTGCGCTAAGTGAGCAACTTTTTGAGAGTGTTTGAAATCCATTCAAAACATTCCTTATTATCATTCTTATTGTTTTCTGCACAAGAACAGCGTTCTTCCTGCCCGACCAACGTTCTTACGAATGCATACACATTTTCGTCAACTATGGCGTACATTCTTAATAGCGCTTTAATCCCACAAACACTATTAACTTTACTATGAAGGTTTATTAGCGTTCGGCATTGATCAATCTCAGACGGATGTGCCAAGCATTCAAGTTAAAGGAACATCTTAGAGGTGTTTTAATGCACATTTGGCCTATAAAACGACTTGCAGTAGCCTACTAATGTATCAAGTCCGTACTGCCATCCGCCCAGGCAAGTGTGGTGTTAATGTGCCGATCTCGTGGGGTTGGAAGGTTTGGTGGCGCAAAGTAGTCAAAAGCAAGCTTTAAGTTCTACTACAACACCACTTGGTACAACTCAAGTCTTCGAATAAGCATATTTGCTAAAGTCGAGAAGCAGGATCTTACATGCAAGAGGTACTTTTCGAAAATGCAGAGAGACCAACGATGGTTTCAACACTGGCAAGGCGTTCTTCATTGGAATAATGTTTAAACAACTGTTTTTCAGCAGAGCAGAGCAATTTTTAGAGGTGAAATGGAAAACAGCTAAAAGTTTGAACTGAGATGAGCGTTCTGAAAGCCTCTTCTGTAGAACAAAACCAAACTAGGGACATTTGTTAATGTTTATGAAGGCACGAGCATGACCGAATTGTGCATGGCTTTGCTTGAACTGCGACGGGATGTTGCTTTATAAGATCACCAAACTACACAAAGAAAATCCCTGCAAGATGCGGAAAGAATTCACTGAGAACATTGCGCGAAAAAATATACTTTGCAAAGAGTTCGAGGAGTGTGACCGAACCGATATACGACAAGAGTTGAGCATATGGCTCGCCCACGAGACACGACAGCTGGACGAAGATACGAAGAGCACCTTAGAGAATGTGTATTAAGACATATTTTTGCCGAAAGGAAATCACTAAGTGAGTTTCAATTAATCGAATATGGAAGACGCTGTCGAAATCTAGCACTAGCGCCACAAGTTCGAAGTAGTCATTGAAAAAACATTTATGGCCTTACTAACTTTTCCAGCCTTATGAAAGCTGTGGTAATGTCACAGGCAAATTTAGCCGAAGAACACAAAGGAAATGCCTCAAATTTAACCTTCTGAGAACGGAATACTTCGCAAGCAGAAGAAGTACCTCAAAGAGTGCAGTCGTCAGAGATTCTACTGACGCAAATAGCGAGCCGTCCATCCATCACAAAATGAGGAAGGCACGTGCCACTCTGTCCAATTCGTGGGTCCGGAATGACGTCACAGTCGACACGTTGGTCGACAGTCTCGCGGAGGCCAAGATCTTCCACAGTGCCACTGGCGTCGATGAAACCACTAGCGTGCGGTTCTTGCTATTCGAGCTTTATCATCGATATCGACAGCGTTTTGGACCGATAACTTATTCATTATCGGAGTTTTCCACGACTGTCAACAGTCTTTCAATAACCAGAATACTTGTCCTCATAACTTGTCTAGAATGTTATTTTAACTTTAAATATGTCTAAAATTTAAACATAAGACACTGAGGAACAAATTAAAATCTTTGAACATTTAATGCAAAGCGGGACCACAAACTCCAGAGACACATTAGGGGATACCTTCATGTCCTTCTAAGAAGGCGAAACCTTGTTGGTTCATTCGCTCTAAAACAAACCCATGACGATGAAGAATAAAAGGAAAATCGTTTTGTGTTTCGTGGTCGGCAAAAATTAGAATTCTACTACTGAAGAACAGGAAAGCTTGCTTCTTATTGGCAATGATGTTTAGATTCCCAGTTTCTATTTCAGTTAATAAAGTCTACTATAAATGAAGATATGTCCATGAGCTGATGAATTTAAAAACTAAAGTGGCAATTGATGAGCAATATATGGTCCATATTATCGCGAAATGAATGTGTTATACGGAAGAATAGGAAAGGAACAAATGCATCGGAAGAATTAAAAGTATAAGCTACTAATATTAACTTATTATTTAGTAAATATCAGCAATAAATGGAGGATGTTGCCTAGTAAATAACTTGTTGTCGTATAATGAGATCAAGCTTCATCGGTCCTAACATAGCTCATAACTCAATGAGCGATAAACAGTGGGAAAAATGCTGCAATATGTAAACGAGAGCCAGTAATGAAGCAAAGAGGTAGGCGAATGCGACTGTGTGCCAGAAAATGAGGAGCATGGGCTCATAACGGGAAGGGTGTCGCGAAGAGGTCGTTATTCACGTGGTGAGCCGTAATTTGTTACATGAGCTAGTGGGGAGGAGGTGGTTTCGGAAGACGAAACTCGCTTACGTCATGCAGTAGAGTGACTCATGCTTAGCAATTTCCAGTGGGTTTAGCACGACACTCTACTGTCCTGATTGCCGTGCGAAAGCTCGCAATAGAACGCCTAGTCATTTGTCACTTGTGTCACTCTCACTTAGAAGAGTTGCGTGGGTCGAGCGATTACGAGAAAACTCCCATTTCGTGCGTAATAGTAGTCCAGCGCTAAGCAGCGTCCCCGATATTTGATTACCGATGTCAGCCAGGACTTCGGATTCCATCTCTCGCTTGTGTGATCCATAATGCACAGTTCTTTCTATAACACTGTTCGTTCTTTCATTACGCTTTCGCATCGTTCATGTGTCGAGGACTTGCATTAAAAGCGGAAACATCGCAGAGTTGGAAAGGTGGTCGCGTGGTACTAGACCGAGGTCATTTGGTGACATTCCTCTATACGTGAATGGTACATCATAAATGAATCAATCTTTGAAGAACATTACTTCAGCTAAGATGATGCTGAGATATTTGCAAAACTCCGGACCGCAGGTGTTTGCGGTGGAGAACGAACGCGCTATTGTCCTTTCCGGGGAGTAACGCGTTCACCACCACACCACGCGGGTCCGTCGTTTCGGCTGTCTCTCAGCTAGTTCTATCGATCGGCACCATCAGCAATTACCCATCAACGGGACTGACCTAGGGAGCCCAAATCGGCAACGAACCTAGTTAAGCTGAGGCTGAAATCGAAATCACAATCTTAAGAACTAGCTGAGAGACAGGCGAAAGGGGGACCCGCATGGTGTGGTGGTAAACGCGTTACTCACCTGGAAAGGACAATAGCGCTCTTGTTCCCCACTACAGACATCTGCGGTCCAGAGTTTTGCAAATATCTCAGCATCATCTTAGTTGTATTTCACATGATACCCTGCTGTTAAAAATTATAGTAGGCAGTAAATAAAAAGGTTAACATCACTTCGTTCAGATTTTATCGAGGACCGATTTCTCCACAAGTGCTATCTGCCAGCATTAGTTGTTAATACTTGCTGTTATATAAGCGATGAAAGCAAAACAATGCAGCTGGAATCAGTCTGTCAACGCGCACTCGACTTCCACCCTCATATCGTCTTATCCCAATTTCAGCATGTCACCGTCTTGAAAGCTACTAATGGTGTAGGCAAATTTGACGACATTTTATCGCTTGGTGGACACCTGCGCTTTAAATCAATAACAACAGTATCATATCAAGATAGGTTCTAGCTGGAAATTTATAGTATAGTCGATGAAAGGTATTTGTTTACTAAGCAGAGATAATTTGGGGGTCTATAAATTCTGTGCTAGGTTCTGTTGCAACTGAGTAGTATGTGTTTCTTAAAGTGAGTAGAAGTGAAGCATTATTTCTACTCAGGCAACACTTCAGTTCGTGTGCTCCGGAAAGGGTAATTGTAGGTTCAAATCTGGCCTGTGTGCCAAGTTT